CGGCCACCCTGGCTTGTAGATCCAAAGCAGAAACAGGATCGACAGAGCTCCAACCAGCTCCACTGCAGAAAAAGAGGTAGATTGAGTGAATCCCCAGCCAGCACTAACTAAAACATGTCCACACACTCTGGTAAAGTCTGCAAGGTGCTTTAGTGCTCTACAGACTTCCAGAGAGACCACATAAAATTACACTGTCACGGTACTGGTCATATCCATGGCAACTACTGAGGTCTGAAGACCTGTCTCATAAAACATTTTATTCCACTGAGGCACAGCAGCCTTTCAGGCTTGATATGATTATGGTTAGCACTTCAGTCCAGAAGTCAGCAGGGTGGACATTTGGATTCCGCAAAACTCCTTTTTGCGGTCACTCACATCTCTAATGGAGACTCACATAAGGTGACATGCATGCCTACTTTCCTATCCAGGCCCCTCCCCAGCAGCATCTTCCCCAGGGGTTTCGGATCCTGAGCAGCAGTACTTCACTCCCTGACACCGTCTTCACATTCAACCACTCCATGACAGTCATGGCATGGTACTGACCCAGTTCGCTGGCACCTACAACAGGCAGGTCATCAGATGTGATACAGGATCAAAACCATTTGCATCGGCAAGAATGCTCTTTTTTCCCCCTTTTTTTTTACCTCCGGGGCTGCTGTGAGTGGAGCAGCTTATCGCACACTGGTCTTTCACTGGATACAGAAGGTTCAGGTCCAGCTTTCGCCTCCTGACCTGGTCGCTATCCTGTTCTTGTCTCTGCTCCTCCTCTGACCCACCGTCTTCCAAGTTCCAGCGCTCCGCCAGGCCCCCGGTCAAATCCACCAAGGCCTCGGCCACCTGCCCTGCCCATAGTCGCTCATATGAGCCATGTAGCCTAGAAGAGGATACAAGGAACAAGAAATTGGATTTCCAAACTTCACTAAAAATGTTGTTTGGAATGCATTACAAGATAAGCAAAAAAATTCAAAAAGCACCACCAGGAAAATCTAATCTATATCAAAGTTCAAAGGTTAAACAGTGAGACCAGACAGGGAATTTCCACAGGTTACTTACTTAGCATAGGCCTTCTCCAACAGGGCCACCCAAAAGGCAGTGGGGGAGTGGCAGCGTGAGAAGCAGAGAGTGGAATTGATACAGGGCAGACGGTCATCGATGGTGACCTCTGTCCAGTGTCCCTGCTGCCAGAAACAAAACTGGAAGGAGCCCCTGTACCTGCTGTCACCCCACTGGGGCTGGTCTGGAGGCAGCACCTACAGAGAGTCATGGACTAAGTCAGTGCAGCGGTGCCGGACATGCAGTAGATATTGACAGGAACTTAGTCTAACCACCGGCCCATAATTCAGTTGTCCAGAGTGTGTTCAAAACCAGAGCTGCTACATTACCTTGTTGAGTAGATGTTTGTTCTTTAGCAAGACGGTGCAGGCACAGAGAAACCAGCAGTCTCCTAATAAGCCTTGCTTTGCGTGACCCAGGTTGATGTTGTCAGGGAAGAAAGCTGGCGACTGGCAGATCTCCTGGAGTTGTAAAATATACATTAAGGAGGATTGAGACACTTAAAGACGACTCACAATAACACTGGGATTTGAGTTTTGGGGTGCAAAAGAAATAAGGTGCAGAAATGTCTTATTCTAACATGGTGGTCACTATATTGTTTTATCACACTATAATTTTGTCGGCTTGTAAGATGATAGACATAGAAATAAAATAAAAACATACAAAAAATATTATATTTGGTCTTTTATTACATATATTTGCTTTTTGTAAAATACAGAACAATAACTTTGGACCTGTAGGCACTTTCGTTATCAGATCAACCACCTGATAGGGGAAATTCTTCAACAGGTCAACCAGTGAGAGGTGATGCCAAAAATTCACGAGCTTATCAACAGCATTTATAAACTTTTACCTCATGACAAAACAAATGTACAAGGAAGTCACCGGGGCATTTCCCATTTACCCTTGACAGAAAGCCTGACCTGTGGGCGTCGCCAAGTGACGTCTCCCTTCAGCCTGCCGATGGGCGTGGAGCTGTCAGACAACAGGGACGTGTCGTCAGAGGGGAAGTCCGGGTCCTCAAACAGAGCCTGGCCTCCACCCTCTGCCCTGTACTCTTCTTTCATGGCTTCTGTTTCTTTTCAGCCTGGATTGTACCTGCGGGGTCAGTGCGTGAACCTCAGCCAGCTGTGACCATCCTCACTGCCTCCATTTCACACTTGTACTACACCTAAAAACCAAACCAAAGTTACATTTAAATAGTCATACAGTCACAGGTAACAACAGAAAGCTGCACCTTGCTGTAGCTGTAGGGAGGTGAATGTTTAACCCTGTTTATCTGTGACTACATAGTGTTTTTCTCTCTTTTCTTCTCATTTGTTTTGTGAATACTGAGGTAAGTGTGTTATTTGTATGTAACAAATCAAATAAAGTTCATTTTATGCGTATAGCCCAATACCACAAATCCCAAATCGCCTCAAGGGGCTTTAGATTAAACAATACAAATGTACTTTCCCTCATGAGTCCACAAATATCAGTAGAATATATTGTCACAATGGGTATACATGTTAACACTATTGTAGGTATGTAAGTAAAATTGTGTTTTCTGGAAAACATAACTGGTGGTTATTCGCCTTTAGTGAAAAGCCCCATTCATATGTTATTACTGTTAACACAGCCGTAATAACAGAGATATACAAAGGAAACGCTGATTGGATATGTCTCCAAACTAAAATGTAATATTAGAAACATTAGCAAGTAATGTTGTGGCTCTCTTCTACGTTCCTGTATCTTACCTTCCTCCTCTTATAAGCATCGTTCCCCTCGTAGCTTTTATGCTTCATAACAACACAACAGCTAACCGTTAGCTTCAGCTAGCTTGTAATGCACAGTTAGATGGAGGTTAGCATCTCCGTGTCGCTTCATCTTACCATGTTTTCAGAACTACCACCCCAATCACAATATGTCTTTTTTTTATCCAAAAGGATTAAAGATTTCGTTATGGCTAACAGTCACACCCCAAACCAGACATGACATCTTGTGAGTATGAAAACACGGCAAGTCTCTTCCGCTTGGACATCTAGCAGCTCATTCATGGAGTGAATCCTTCCTGTGCTGCTGAACACTCCCGCTACCTACTGTTCGTACCGTGAACTACACACCATGCTCACACATGTTAGTGACCAGCTAAAAGTAGCGCACTCTACTAATTTATGGTAATTTTAGAGAATGCAGTTTGTGGTGTTGTTGTGAATTGTATTGCATGATGATACTAAGTCATTTTGTCACATGAGGGTTGAGTCTAAATGTTCAAAATACAGTAAAACAGTTTCAACAAAAACTGAAACCTTCATGAAGGTGGAATTTATTGCAGACTGCAGTAGTACTGCATTTTGTTTTAGCTAGGTGGACAGGTGTCGTGCCAAGGTAGTTATCCCCGACAGAAACTTCGACTTCATGAAAGTGAATGAAAAATATACCATGTGGATTGTTTAATCTATCGTTTTAGAATTGTTTTATTAACGAGGTTTGTGTAGAGCAAGCTAGCACTTCTAAACGTTTGCACTCAATTGAGAATGTCTACACAAGACGAGCATTTAGTTTCACTCGTAAAGCAAACATTTATTTCGTGATAACGTTAGTCTGGCGATGTTATATAACTGACCATGTAGTCGATCACTTTGTCATCCATGTTACTGTTTAGAAGCTAGATTCAGACAGACTGTCACCTTTTTAAAGTAAGCTGCTCCTACAGACGCCATCGATACAGATGTTACAGTGTGAATTTTACGTTTTCTCTGCAGAGATACGCTTTTAATGCGCCGTTAACGGAAAGTAGGTGCCGGTGTCAGCTTGTCAAAGAGCGACGCAGGCTGCTTTCCAACACGACCACCAGTGCCATGGTGTGGCTCATTGGATTTCAGTTGTTTCAGTAGAACAATAAAGCCTTAAACTGAAAAGGTATTTGCCTGATTTTATAAATGTTTACATCTGCCCAGCTCATTCATATCTGTGATAACTGCGGTCTCTGTACCACAAAGGAGACCTGGCGTTCTTCTGCATAACTGCGCGCACACAGCCTGGCTGACAGCTCATTCGGTTAACAAAGCCTATTGCCGATTACAGACTGGTGAAGTTATGAAGGTATGAATGGAAAATGTAGCGAAAGTAAAAGTAGATTACTGGCCCAAAGAAAATACTGGAGTAAATAGTAAAAGTAGGCTACAGTTTTAAAAAAAGATCGTGAAAAGGTGTTTTTATTTTATTTATTTATTTTGCAGTCACTACCCACCCTGCAGCAGGCGTCCCCACTGCTGTCTTCAGGTACAAAAAGAACAGCACAAAAGAAACGTAATATTGAGGCACTTTGCTGCACCTGCCTCGAGCGAACTCTTTTTTTTCTCCCTTAACTTTTCAGCATTTGCGTTGTGTCGCATGTTTTTATAGGCCTACATGATTTTTGTCCGCGTTTCAACTGTTTAATCGTGTCTGATGCGGAGTGTGTGATTGATTGATTAACTAGTCACTCAAACCGCCTGGCTATGAGCCGAAAAAAGTGAGGGGGACTAAACATTGATTTCGAAATGTGGAGGGGACATGTCCCCCTTATGTATAATGGCTCCCACGCGTATGGGCAACTGAGAGTGCATTTAGTCAAATAGTGTTCATACTAGTATTCATAAGACTAATTTTACTTCCCCACTTTCCTTCCTTTATTAAGTTTTCCCTGTATCTATTAGTCCCTGCTTAATTTCTTCTGTTTTTCCTTCTTCTCTTTCCTCCTGTCTTCCTTCCTTTCCTTCTACAGATGATTGAAAAGCATTAAAATCTCCAAATTGGAAACACAAGGATCCTTGAGTACACTTTACTGGTAATACTTGTTTACTTCAGCAAACTTTTGAAGCTTGGCTGTACAGAAATTGTAATAAAATAATTCCTATAAAAGCTCCAGATCCAGTTAGTTATACAGATAAACACAGAAACAGCAACTTATTAATAAAAAAATTATTTATTGGCATTAAATTAATATATTTGAAGAAATACATTGAAAGTAATACAAAAATAGAGGATTCATTTATTTTAATATATTAAATTCATCTCGTGTGTCTTTAAGTTTCCTCAGGTGATCTGCTGCTCAAAGTTTTCTATTTAGAAAGAGAACAAAGAAAATATTAAATTGATTCAAATACGATTGTTGCATTGTGACTCAATATTGATGCCTGTTCTGTGTTTAGCAAAGAGAAATTAACTTACTGTGGTACAGAGTTCATGGCTTTTTGCACCCACTTTGTGTCAGGATTGGCACAGAGAAGTCTATTTCTCACTGTCTTGAAACTGTATTAAGACAAAGGAAGACGTTAAAACAATACTACAACAGCAGAGCTGACATTTCTCTTCTTTTTTTCCCAGATCCATTGATTTGTATTTTCTTACATTACGGCCTTGATGTTGCAGGCTTCTGTGACCTCCTGGATTCTGTAGTATTTCAGCACTTTCACTGGGATTGGATGGTCTTGGTACTGTGTGCAGCAAAGCCTCATGGGACCTTTAAACAGGAGACATTACAAACATGTCAATAAAAATCAAGAGGCCAAGTTACATATTCAAGGAGACACTTTAATGTGAAAACAGTTCTGTAATTAAAGAAATACAGACAACAACTTGCGTGTTCTCCTAAACCAATAATATTTGAGAGATGCTGTACAGTAAATATCTGCTGAAGCCATACTTACTGCTTTCACCCAGCGCCACCAGCAGCACCAGTATTACGGAGACACACACAGTAAGCTTTGCCATCCTCACACAGCTTCTCCTCAGCAGTAAATCAGTTTTCTGATCTGGACTCTCAAAAGGGATGAATTGATAAAGTTTATCTGGCTGTGAAGTTTAAATACTCTGGTTAATCTCCCACTACAGACCAACAAACTAGCTGGAAATACCAACGTTGCATATTTGGGTCAGGCGGGAAGTGTGACATACGGAGTACTTTTACCCACAATTGTTGTACAAAATCCCCTCCCGGGTTGGTACAGGGGAATCAAGACACACGCATGTGCCACTTACCTTTAAAAAAGATCCTGGAATGAGGTCATGCTGACGAAGAATACTATCAAACAGCAATTGTCCATTCCTTGAATGTAAACACTGTTAAACACAATGAATACTTTTCAAATACTATTAGTATTATTTATTCAACTTAATTTAATAAGCAGTGATGAAATGTACATTCACTCCAATACTGAACTTCCGTACACAATTGAGGTATTTGTACTTTACTTGACCACTTCAAATTTATGCTATTTAATCCTTCCACATTTCAGAGGGAAATATTGTATTGTTTTTTTAATCCACTTCATTTCTTTGAGAGATATAGCTTCTAGTTACTTCACACAAAACATCTGATCGGTTTATAAAATATGATGTATTTTAATAAATTAAACTACCTAACTGTATATAAATTGTTGAAAATTTGCAACAACTACACCAGCCATAACATTTGTAGAAAACTGGATTCAGGTGTGGCACTATTCCACCAACTACTAGACACACCCGTGCTTTACAACATTAAAATGCTGCTTTCACACTAACTAATCCGGCATGATAATATAATAATATAACACACAGTAATATAACACTGACAGGAGCTGTTTACCTGCATAATGAGCAATTTAATCTTTGATAACTATGCTGATAACACTTTTTAAAATAGTTTTGCTTTTATAACATTTTGCAGTTCTTTGACTTTTCGTATAGTATTTTTATGTTGTGGTATTGCTGCTTTTATTTAAGTACAATTTCTGAATACTTCTTACACCACTGTTAATAAGGTAGTCTCATTGTGAATGCATCTATTTTTCAAGAGAGACCTGAGAACAAGAAACAATACAATAGCGAGACAGCATCCCCGAACCATCCTTCACAACATAACATCCTGCTGACCTTGTTGTTGCATACATACAACATTATGAGACAATGTAGAAAAGACACTTTGTTTGTTAAGATGACCACATGCTGTTTGTCACTGTATAATTATACTGATTTTATAATTTGCCAATCGTTGCCACCAAGCAAAAATAGTGATAAATGAGAGTCAATTCAAACACGTTATAAGCACAAAACCTACAAAATAAATATTTTATTTTTTTTAATTTTATTATAATTATTTACTTTTCATTACAATGCAACACATTTCTTAAGGACCTCATTTTAAACCGTCACTGAGACAAAGACAAAGTCCTTGTTTCAGTCGTATTAACACCTTTTTCAATAGGAAGGTGTAAATAATAAAATCAGCGACGGTTGAACTCCATTTAACTCCTTCAGTGTCAATACTCCCATTCCAAAATGTACATTGAAAAACAAAAAAAACAGATTCATTTGACTAACTCAAACTGCTGAAGCCTCATACCAACTAGACTTGAAAAATGTGAACCTTTCCTTCATACCACCTCGGGTCAAAGTTGCCTCACTGTCCAGTTTATCTAATCAGGGCCACAAGTCTGATTTAAGACAAGAACTAAAAACTACAAAGGCATATATACAGTATATATGATGTCCTAAATACATTTTGGACAATGGGAAGAAATTTGGGTTCCTGCCCCCTTCTGAGGGTTAATGAAAAGTCATTATCATCAACACAGGAGATGATTTTTCTCACAGTTGAGTACAAGAGTCAATAGTTAAGTTGAGTTATAATGTTAGAATTATAATGTAGTTATAAAGTTGTGACTTAATATGAAAAGTGCACATTGCAGTGAAAAGTTATATGCTTCAAACATGGTGTGGTTTTGCTGTAAAGTTCATGATGAACAATTAAGAAAGACATTAACCATATTGACCTATTTCAGTCCTCCCCATATACTATTTCCCTTTCATACATGGTTATACATACATAGCAAAGGTTCCTCTGACCTAGAAAAGAAGCCCTGTACAACCTCAAAGCAACCTACTTGTTGCAGCCCACATGAAGTCAGTGTACCATTATCCTCTCTAAACTCGAGTCCAACCTGATTTTGAATCATTCATTTTGATTAAACATATTCTGTTGTTAACAGTATTATGTGCATAGTGAGAGTCACAGAGAGAACCACTGCACCTTTGTATATTCCCACGTTGTTACTTCTTCTTCTTCTTTCTCTCACAGGTGAATGACCTTGCCACTAGTGTGTGTGTGTCCCCTTCTTCCCCTTGTTCTTTAACTGAGGAAGTGAAGGGAGTTTTCTGTAGTGGTGTAATACTTCTGCAGATTTAATCTTTTCCATGTGGAAATCTCCACTTTAAGGAGATATAATATATATATAATATATTTAATCTCTTTCTTTTTGATTGTTTGTCACAAGACATATTTCTCTCTATTTGCTTTTCTATTTCTTTTCTAGTATCTGATCAGATCATCTTTTCCCTTGTTTCACAGTTTATCATGGATTTAGTGCAAGGCTACTCAGACCCTGACCCTCACAGAGTTGTGTCCTATCAATGCCATCATGTGAGTATCCATAAAATGATGTTAATCTCCTCCCTCTTAAAGCATACACTGTTTATTCTTTATTTGGATCCCCATTAACTTCCCCAAAGGGGTTGGCTATCATCATACAATTTTTTTGTGGACATAGCACCAACAGATTACCAGTGCACACTGGACTTTTTTTTGTATAAATCTGTAATTTTCTTGCAACTACTATTGCTGAAACATATTACCAATGACGAAGTACAGTCATCTGAAGGTCTATGGAAGCCGATGTGTAGCGTGTATGTTCGTCACACCAAAGAATGTCTGGACCAGTAAACCGATTGGAAGCAGTGAGCTCTTATGCTTTGAGGCCTTTTGAAGCGTAGTCTGCAGGATTTTCTTCAGAGGTCAAGTATCTCCACTGACTGGGACTGGTACTTTCTTTGATGCGCTGAATGCGGTTCGCCAGAAATACATGAAAACGTCTAGCGTTGTTGACATATCCAAGGACGACCCTTGAGTCCGTCCAAAAGTATTCCTGGATACTTTCTATTTACAACTCCTTTCTGAGTAGGCCACGCAACAACAGCTGCTGACAGCTTAAGTCTTGGCACTGTAGTTACCTTTGTGGGGGCCACTCTTGCCTTGCCCATGACTAAAGAATTTGTCCTGATGCACTGATTGCTCTCAGGTAAGTACATTCTCCATACCCTGTGACACTTGCATCTGAGAAGTGATGGAGTTCATATCCTTGGATGTCTTTGAACCCTTGTGGTAGGTAAGTGTACTCTCATCCAATAAACTGATGGCTGGGATTGAAAGTCTCCATGGTCCCACCAGAGAAATCTCAAATAGTCTTGGTCTTCTGCTCTCACATGAAATTGATGGAACATGTGTTCAGTAACACACATTATTGCTACAGGATCTTTGCGAAACCGACAGAGAACACCTATCAAAGTATTTGTCAATTCTGGCCCGGTAAGCAGATGGTCATTCAATGACACGCCTTGAAACTTTGCAGAACAGTCGAACACGAATCGTATCTTTCCTGGTTTCTGTGCATGATACACCCCGTGTGGAGGGATGTACCATACAGGACTCTTGTCAACCTCGTCTTCTGGAACCTTCTCGGCATCTCCACGAGTTATTGTTTCACTCATGAAAGCTATGTAATCCCTATGGTATTGCTTGTCTTTCTCAAATCTCTTTCACACTTGAAATGGTTCACAAATTTCCCATTGTCTGGCAGACTTGGCCTGTCTTCCTTAAATGGCAAAGGCCTTTATTTTGATTCCTTCCTCCATTATTGATATGAAGTGCAGATCCTCTTGAGAGAAGTGAGCATCCTCTACAGTTCTTTCGTTAGCAGGCGACTGAAGAAAAGGTGTCACTTGTCTCACAATAATCCTGTGGCTGCTTTCAGTTGCATCTCCATAGTCAACACAGGGATTGACACAGCCAACTATGCTCCAATCAAGATTTGTTTTTTGAGCAAATGGCTCATTGTCTTTGCCTGACACAACTTCTCTATGTAGCAGGGCTTGAGAACAGTTGTAACCTATGAGCAGACCAATGTCACATTCGATTAAAGGAGCGATCTCTGCTCTAGGTGAGGTCATGCTCTTGCTGTTTTGGGAGTAGGAAGATGACTTAGGTTGGCAGGAATAAACTCCCTGGAGTAGGTCACTGGGAGAGATTTTCTTTCATGAGTAAAAACCCCTCACCCATAGCCCAGTTAACTTCTGACTTGGAATAACTGTACTTCTGGATGACAATGTAGACAGCTTTAATTGCACAGGCTCCTTCTGTGTGTTCAGAGTTTCTGCCTTCTCTTGCAAGACAAAGGTGGTGTCGCTTTGGTTATCCAAAAGTGCATATATACGAGAATTTCATTTTCTGGGTTACTCGCACTGAAATAACTGTAGATTTGTAGTTGGTGTTTCTGTCTTGCACCACTCTGTTAGATGTTGCTTCCTTTGATATTTCATTGGTTTGTTTAGACTCTGTCCTTTCTCTTTCCTTTGAGTGTTTCCCACTCTCCTTTCATTCGTCATCTTGTTGCTCTTTCTTTTTGTCCTCCTTGACACGGTCTTCTTGTAAACAGGTTGGGTGCTTCCTTTTACATGCATCGCAGACACTTCTCTTCACAGTTTTTTGAATGGTGTCCTTATTTCAAACAGCCAAAACACAATTTTTTCATTTGCACAAACTTGTTCTGCGACTGACTTGTCCATGAACTTTCGACATGTGTGAATGCCATGGTTTAACTTCTCACAAAAAACACACCCTTCACTGTCTTGGTTCTCTTCAGAGCTGACTACCAGCACTTTTGCCCCAACACTTCTAGTCTTTGGCATCTTCACCTTGTCACCATCACTAGACTTCAGAGCGTGAAGAGAAGTCACCGGATTACAAGCTATCTTAGCTTCCTTTGTAATAAACTCAACAAACTGACTGAAGCTAGGGAATGTCTTGGTTGCTTCTTCTATCTCAA